GTATTGGGTGTGCTGGGCTGTGCTGTGGTCTGAAAGCTCTGGCGCACTGCCAAACTGAAGGAATCCAGCGTCTGAAACGCTTGCTGTTAATTTCCATCAACTATGGAGTTTGTGGTCTGCAGGGTCAGGCGTGCTCTGCCGTTCTGGGTGCTGTTCAGGGGGAAATAATTTGCAGATAGAGTTCACTGTCCCCTGTAGCACAGCCCTGTGTGTCATTAACACCACTCAGTGCACTTTATCATTTTATGCACATGAGTAATTGGAGAGAGAAAAATTAGGGCATCTCCATTCTGGACTACAGAGTGAGCCTGAGGTTAGCCTAGGCTGTGTGAGCTCTTGCCTCAAAAAGTGAGAGAAAGGGCTGGAGAGATGGTCTGTGGGTAAGAACACTTGCTACTCTTCCAGAAGACCTGAGTTCAGTTCCCAGCTCCCACACAAGGTGGCTCACGACCACCTATAACTCTGTTTCCTGGAGGCCTGACACCCTTTTCTGGCCCCCATGGGCACTGCACACACAGCATACCCTTACACACATGCACTGCACACACACACACACACACACAAATAAATTAAAAAAAAAAACAAAAAACAAAACAAAAAACAAAAAACAAAAAACCAAAAGCATTTAATTGAGGCTGGCTGATAGTGTCAGAGGTTTAGGCCACCATTATCATGGTGGGAAGCATAAAGCACAGTGGCATGCAGGCAGACATCGTGCTGAAGAAGGAGCTGAGGGTTCTGTGTAGAGATCTGCAGATGACAGGAAGAACAGAGAGACTCTGGGCCTGACTTGGGCTGTTGAAAACTCAAACCCCAACCCAGTGACACACCTGCTCCAACAAGCCACGCCTCCTCATCCTTCTCATTCGGGAGGCAGAAGCAGGTAGATGTCTATGAGTTCGAGGCCAGCCTGGTCTACAGAGCAAGTTCCAGGACAGGCTCCAAAACGATACAGAGAAACTGTCTCAACCAAAAAAAAAAAAAAAAAAAAAAAAAGATACACCTTCAAAAATGGTAAGAGGCGCATGCCCTTTCCCCAAAGCAGCTTCGAGCTTACTGAAGCACACTGGGAATCAACCTAGTTAATAAGAGAATCATGAGTGAGAGCTCGGCCAGCAGTGACCTTACGACCCCGGTGACCCTATGACCTTACGACCCTGTGACCTCGGCGGCGGCCGTGGAGTGAGCATGTTGATATGTTGCAGATAGTTGTGTGTTTCCCAGTTCACAGTGCTGTTTTTTTCCATGTCTGCCTGGGCACCTCTGTGGTCAGTGGCCAGGTGATGTCCACACAGGACCCTGCAGCGGCGTATCCGCATACGCATTCAATTCTGTTAGTGTTTGGACATTTAAGGATGTGAAACAGGCTATCCCAGTGGGTGAAGTCGTTTTTGCAAGCCTGAAACCTTGAGTTTGAGGCCCAGGACCCGAATGGTGGTAGGAGAGATCTGACATTTACTGGTTGTCCTCTGACCTTCATATGTTTGCTGTGGCTTGTTCAAACCCCACCCCAGCCAGCCACACACAAAATAAAAATGTAGCAATAACAAAGGAAACAAAACATGAACCCACATGCTCATAAAAGCACTGGAAAATTTTCTCTCTCTTTTTTCATGTTTCATTAAAAAGAAGCCATGTTTCACGGAATTCTCCTGAATCAGAATATTTTATTGGCACTACGGGTAGTTTCTGACAGCCGTAAATGAAAACGGATATGGTCTGAGTTGGAATATATGATGCTTTATTTTGCTCTTGCTCATGTTTAGAACTGAGAGAGATGAGACAGGGCTTTGCCAGGGCACTCTCCCACAGAGAATGCGTGGCTGGAGGTTGGACTCTGGCAAGTGGCCAATCCCTTGCTAGATTGAAGATAGCAGGATGCTAGGAAGGCTGGCATTGGCGGCTGACCCTTTCCCTTCATCTATAAACCAGCAAGGTTTCTTCCTGCCTACAGAGCAGGGGGGGCGTTTTGGGCTGCACACGCTGCTGAGGACCTGTCCTTCTGAGGGCGGTGGGAAGATGATCCCTCCAGCCAGGGAGCAAGGGCTCTTCCTGCCTGTGTGATTAGGATGGGGGAGAATTGAACGACTATGGCAGGAAGCCCAGACAGCAATCTTCCTTGAATTTAAGAGGTGTTAGCACCCTTATCTGGGCTGATCAATATGTGTTTCTTCTTAGGTCAGAGTGTAGGATGGGCACAGTGGTTCCCATGACAACAGTGTGCCAGCATCGGTACAGGCTGGAGGAGACCTTAAAAGTCCTCGTTCTTACACTCCGCCAAGACCCTCCAAAAGTGGAGCCCAGGGTTCTACGTGTTTGGATGTGTTTTCAGGGTGCAGAAGCCGGGGGCCACATTGAGTTAGATGCCATGGAGTAACTCATTCACCAACAAATACCATTTAACATGAGGGTTTCTAATACCCTTGACTTTGTTTCCTGTAGATATCATGTTAGCGATGTTTAGTTAAATATAACTGGCCACCTCTTTGGGAGACACCTTGAGAGAGGCTTGGGGACAATGGCCTGCTAAGGGCTGGGTGTTGCCTGTGTCTGCAGTGCTACATCCAAGGAAAGACGGCCAAATCGGGCACATGGAGCGTTTCGTTAATTTTTTTTAGGCATAGTCAGTCCTTTTTCCACAGTGTGGCTGCCAATAGCCTCAACACCATGTATTAGAAAGTCTGTCTTAGCCGTGGTGGTCTGAGATGCCTCCTTTATCATGAAGTAACTCCCCATGCCCTCTGGGGCTTTGCCTGGGCTTTCTATTCATCCTGTGCGACGGCGGCACATAGTTATAATGGGAGGCTGAGACAGTTTGTTTGAATGTCCTGCAGGACATTTCTGTATCCCCCCTCCTGAGTTCTTTTCTGACCATTTTTCAAATGATAGTTTTTCCATATGAACTTTACTATCAGCCTGTCTAACTTTCTTAAGAGCCTGTTTAGACTTTTCTCGGTCATTTTGGAAAAAACATTGCTGAATTACCCTAGGCTAGAAATGGGGATATGTTGACAAAATTTAAGCTTGTCTGGCTTTTTCAGTGTGTTCCATGTCTACACCTATCTACATGTGTATGTATGCATGCATGCATACACTGCTAATTCATTGCTTTTCTGTGATAAGTGGAGATTTCTCTATTATCCTATACACAACTGAGTTAAAGTTTTGGTAGGCAGGTAAACTGATCTGTGCATGACCATTTCATAGCCTTTGTACTTGTGCTGGCTACGTTTTGTCAACTTGACACAGACTTGAGACACCTGGGAAGAGGGAACTTCAGTGGAGGAATTGCCTCCATCAGATTGGCTCACTGGCATGTCTGAAGGGGCATTTTCCGACTGACGCAAGTGCTCAGCCCTGGGCAGGAGGTCCTGGGTTGTATGCAAAGGCAAGCCAGTAAGCTGCGTGCGTCTGTGGTCTCTGCTTCAGTTCATGCCCTGCCTTCATTTCCCTTCATGAACTGCAACCTGTAAGCCACAGAAACCCTTTTGTTCTCCAAGATGCTCTTGATCTTGATGTTTCTCACAGCAAAGGAGAGGCAAACCAAGACAGGACCTTACTGGATTCTAGTATACCTAATGTAAATATATACCGAGAGATACAGTTTTACTTCTTTACAAATTACAGGAGTCTCTCACCCACATAGGTGTCCTGTTTAATTACATTGTTACTATGTCCAAGACAATTTTTATGAGTAGTGGAAATATAATTACACTCTGTCTTGTGCCTCTCTCAGGGGAGATGCTTCTAATGTTTCCCGATTAAGATAGTGGTTATGGGACAAATATAAGAAATAGAGTATCCATCCATCCATCATTCATCCATCATCAATTTACCTATCTCCCTCTCTCTTTCCGAACACACCCATATATACACATATATTTGCATATGGAGAATGAAGTTTTTGATTTCTACTTGCTGTGATAGGTTTGTTTTTGAGATTCATGTATTTACATATGCATGCTAACTGCCTGCTGTCTCCCAGTCCTATTGGTCACCTTTCTTGTAGCCCACACTTTGAAATGACATGGTACTACTCAGCGCAGATTGGACTCTGTCTCACAGAGGCATCAGTAGCATAGGAAAGTTGCTGGATCATAAAATAAGTGGACGTGTGGGTGGCTGGCACAGTAATAATCTCTACTGTGGCAACAGTGCCAACAGGGTGAGCAGCACTGTCCATCAGCTGTGGAGTTTTCTTTCCCATTTACTCATCTCGTCTCCGCAGCGGTCTGGTGTGGTAACCGGCTGCAGGCCCAGCGTCCAGCAGGGGGCAGTGCTGGTCCACAAGCAGAGGACACCGGAGAGAACCAGCTGTCTATAATTTGTGCTGTGTTCTGCAGACACGTCCAGAGCAACATTGCCCACACGCTATCTTTAGACAAGCACTCCAGTGTCCCCAGGGCCATTGGGATGCTCTGTCTTCAGTTACCCTGCCTTTACTGGACCAACCATGTACTCATTACACTGGCCACTGAACAGCAACCAAGACAGGGTTTCTCCCTCTAAATCATTCATGGTGTGAGATAATATTTTAAATCTGGGAGCTTGCCTCTTGCCCCTCATTGTTACACTGGAAGGGACTAGGCACCCTGTTGGGCTCAGCTGCCCTGGAACAAACTTGATATCACATCTCAAACCTTAAGGTAGGTCCTAACCTGCGATCTTGGTAGATTTTCTTTTTTCTAGAATGTTTGCACAGTAGCAAAGGAGACATCACCTCTTTAAAAGCTGTAAGAAGCATTATTGATATTTTTCTCCCATGTAGACTCTTAATTCAGTACATGACAATTTTTTTTAAGTACAAATGGGCTTGCCCCCCCTTACTCTATTTTCCCAGAACTCCAGAGTTTGAAGTCAATTCTGCATTATTTGTTTTTGTAAGGGAGGAATCCCACTATAAATTGATTATCACCAAACTGGCCATCACATTATACACTGACTATTTGTGAGGCTTGCTGAGCTGGTAAAGTGCTCGCTGCACGAGAGAAGGCTCTGAATTTGGACCCCCAGGCGCCATTAAGGACCCGGGCACTGTGGCACACACCTGTGATCCAGTGCTGGGGAGGTATGGATGAGGGTCCTTGAGGTCTACTGGCTGGCCAGTCTTGGTGAATTTCAGTGAGAGACACTGCCTCAAAAAATTATGTGGAGATCTGGAGAGTTCACATAGGAATTAAGAGTGCAAACAGCTCTTGCAGAGAGCCTGAGTTTGATTCCCAGCACGTGCGCACGTGCACGTGCGCACGCGCGCACACACACACACACACACACACAGAGTCAGCTCGCCACTGTCAGTAACTTCATCTCCAGGGCCATTTGAGGCCTCTAGCCTCCATGTGTACCTGGACTCGTGTGTGTGTGTGTGTGTGTGTGTGTGTGTGTGTGTGTGTGTGTGTTGGTTTTTTGAGACAGGGTTTCTCCTATAGCCCTGGCTGTCCTGGACCTCACTCTGTAGACCAGGCTGGCCTCAAACTCGAGATCAACCTGCCTCTGCCTCCTAAGTGCTATGGTTAAAGACATGTGCCATTACCATCCATCTTAAAAATAAATCTTAAAAAAATAAAACAAGGCAGGGAGAGATTAAGGAAGACTTCTCTAAAGATCCAGCAAGCTCACCCTGCACTTCCTCTCTGGGTTTTGGGGTCCCCCATGTGGGGCTGGGGTCCCAGCTTGGCTTGAGGTTGTCAGGGCTGTGGGAGTCAGTGTTTCTCTCCTTGCCCATTTTCTTTTTGGCAGTTTGCCTTTCCAGCTCACATAGACCATGCAGATCTTTTCAGGGCTCCAACCCATGGGTTCCAGCTTGTTCCATGGAGCAGCTCAGGTCATCTATCTATAACAGTGTCTCTGGGACCTTTCCATGCCTGCCAATGACAATTTTCTTGGCTGATTGGGACTGTCCTCCTGTATGCTGTGAATGTGTTTCTCTCACTGGTTGATGAATAAAACTGTTTCAGTCAATGGACAGGCAGGATTTAGCCAGGCAGAAAATCCAAACGGGGAAAGAGAAAGGTAGTAGGTGGTAGAGTCAGGGAGATGCCAAGTAGTTGCCGAGAAAGTAAGAGGCCCAGGCATCACCAGGAAGCCAAGACCACATTGAGATACCCAGATGAATAGAAATAGGCTAATAATTAAAAGATAGCTAGCCAGTAAGAAGTCTGAGGTACAGGCCATACAGCTTATAATTAATAAGCCTCTGTGTGTTTATTTGGGACTAAACCGCTGCAGGACCAGGCAGGACAGAGTTCTGTCAACACATGGCCTCCCGTTTCTGGGTACCAAGTGCTCCCAGGCATTTTGCCAGCCCTCCTACTCAAATGGCAGAGCCAGAATGCAAGAATTTCTTATTTCCAAACCCGTCTTTCCTTCTAAAAGCATTATGCAGTTTGGAGTCGCTGATAAATATCTCGGTGTGGCCCATTTTCCTATTCTGTGCAGCTCTTTGTGGTTTAAACATGACTTCCTGTGTCCTGCCATCTACAATGCAAGTCATAGCATCTCATTTCCATACAAATGGAGACCAGAACTTGGAGAGGCTCAGATCCAGGCTAGACACCCTAGGAGTGGTCCCCATGGGCTATAGCGATATCTGTGAGAGAGACATGCCTGTTTTCAGGTCTGCTTAGACCCATGGAGTCAGAAACTCTCAAGTAGGGTCCAGCCACCTGAGTTTGACAAGTGTTCTCCATGACAACCATTTGCCTCAGCTATGAGGTGCTGAATTTGTCAGGTTACAAATAAAACCAAAACACTGATGTACTTTAGAAACCCTAGGCTCCTCCCCCAGGTCCCCCTTACTCCTTTACTTTGATTCTGGAAGAGGCTGCCAAAGGTTTGGGGAGGTGCTTTAGTGGGTAAAGCACTTGCCACACAACGTAAGGACCAGGTAACAATCCCTGGAACTCGCGTGAAGCATGTGGTAGCATGTGGTGGCATGCATGTGTGATGCCAGGGACCCAGTGATGAGATGGGAGGCGAGGGCAGGAAAATTTGGAAGTTTCATGGCTAGCTAGCCTGGTGTACACCATGGCTGACGACAGAGATCTCATTGCAAACAATGTGAAAACTGAAGACTTGTCCTCTGACTTCCACACCTGTGCTGTGACACACACACACACACACACACACACACACACACACACACACACACAGCTCCTTTATCATAGAAACAGAATTAAGCTCAGGCAATGGCTGTAGGTGAATCTGTTCGTGTTAGCTTCCTGTCTCTGTAATGAAATACCTGAGAAGGTCAGCTACGGAGATGTTGGCTTACACCTATAGAAACTCTAGTCCATGGCTGCCCGTTGTTGGCTCACACTCTAGTCCATGGCTGCCCGTGCTGTTTGGGAGCCTGGAGAGGTAGAGCAGTATGATAGGAGTGTGTGTGTGAGAGAGAGCAGATTTGCTTATCCCTTGGCCAAGAAGTGTGAGAGAAGAGAGGAGTGGAGAGGGGGAGAGGAGGAGAGAGACAGCGGCTAGGGTCCCAGAATCCTCCCTGGGAGCATAGCCCTAAAGAGCTAAACACCTCCCACGGGCCCCACCCCCTGAAGGTTCCTGAGCCTTCTGAGAGTGCCACCTGCAGACTGAGCCCTTAATATATAGACTGGGGGCACTCAGGATCTACTCTTTTGTCTCTTGTAGAGCATACTACTGAGAAGGACAAGGAATCGTCTCTATTCAACAGGGATGTAAGCCATCAATTAATTACCCCTTCCAAAGCAAAACTTCGAGGCTTAATTACGCAAGGTAATCATTCTTTTTAAGATATGTGTTCTAACATTCTTTGGTTTTTAAAAACAATCTTTATTTTACATACCAATCCCAGTTCCTTCCTCCCTCCCCTCCTCCTGCGCCCATTTTCCTCCACCCCACCCCCATCTACTCCTCAAGGGGGGGGAGCGTCTTCACTCTTAAAGCATAACCTAGGTAAGAGTCTTGAGCATGGAAGGTTCTAGAACGTGTCTTTTGATGTCATGGTATTTTAGCTGAATAGAGTCAGTGTACTTTTAGTTCACCTGCAAAAGTTTATGGTAAGCTAGCGCAGGGTCACATACCTGTAATCCCAACACTCAGCAGGCTGAGGCAGGAGGATCATGGGTTTGAGGCCAGCCCATGAATTTTAAATCTTTGACTACACTTTCCATAGGATTTCCATGGTTTGTCTAAATAGCCGGAGTCATTTAGAACATGGTGTCCTCTTCTGAGCCCCTGCCCCTGCTGGGCACTGAGGCTGTCTAACATACACGAGGGATCCAAGGTCAAAGGTTAACCCAGTCTCCTGAGGTTTTGACTTCTGCCTTCTTGTTGGGTTAACTGAGCTCGGGTTTGTTAGCAGCGGGTAGAGGCTGACCCCATGCTGGACTAAAGCCCAGGACACTGTCACTACATCGAAAAGATACCTCACTTTCAGAAATTAAACGCCAAGCCCGACAACTGGAGATTAATCCTCTGACAGGCATGGTAAAAAGAGAGAATTCGCTCCCACAAATTGACCACACACATGCGTGGCCTGTGTACCCACACATACATACATATATAATAAAATGTAATTTTAAGCTTTCTAGTGCTGAATTATTGCAGCAGAGCATCTGGAGAGACTTCCCTGATGCAGCTGCTGTAGCTGGGTGAAGGGTTGGCCTCCAGCTTCCCCAGAGCTCCAGCAAACCCTAGGGTGGTACTCTCCTGCGGTACCACCCACTCTCCAGCGTTTCTCCTCACTGAACGGGCTCATCCCTGTCACTGTGCCCTTTCCCCCACTGCCTGACCCCCCTCTTCCTTTGGCTGGATTACAGAAGCTCCTGAGCTCCCGAATGTCACCGGGGAGCTCCTCCCTTTGAGACCTACCCATGAGATTTTGTACTTCAAACCCATAGTCAGTGGCATTCCAAAGCCACCCACCCTCAGGGTGCTCAAAGTCCCTGGCGGGCTGTCAGAAGTCAGGGCCGTCCGTGACGTCCATCTACTCCAGGGCAGCACTCAGGACAGCAGCACCAGGCTCAAACTAGTCTTGGCCAGTTTTTCATCGCTGTGGCAGACACCTGAGAGGCACAGATCACAGAGGAAGGGTTAATTTAGCTCCACATTTCAGGGGTGCCCTCTGTGATCAGCAGGCCCCTTGTTTTGAGGCTCTGATGAGGCAGGGTGTGGCAGAAAAGCCCGGTGGAGGAAATATCGCCCCTCATTGGCAGGTTCCTATTTTCCTCATCTTTATTCTCACTGGGCCCTCGGCCTATTGCATGGGACCATCCAAATTCATCCCCACTTCTGGAAACACCCTCCCAGACACACAGACAGACACACACAGACACAGACAGACAGACACACACAGACACAGACACAGACAGAAGACAGACACAGACATAGACAGACATGCACAGACACGCACACACACACACACAGACACAGACAGACAGACACACACAGACATAGACAGACATGCACAGACACATACACACACACACAGACAGACACACACACACAGACACAGACAGACAGACACCCACACAGACAGACAGACACGCACAGACACACACACACACAGCAGACACAGACACAGACAGACACACACACACAAACATAGACAGACACACAGACAGACAGACACCCACACAGACACACACACACACACACACACACACACACACACGGGCACTTACTCTAATCCCTTACGTGTACCTTCACTCAAATCAAGATCACGGTGAAGGCCGACAATCACACAGCCGCAGAGCAGACCACATTTGTAGCAGAATTTCTAAAAGCGAGTGGGACAGGGAGGAGAGGGCAGCAGAGAAATGTTTTTGCTACTGCCCAGTGAGAAGCTTTCACTCAAATATTTGACACACGTTGTTGTCCCTCATGCTTGAGATTTAACCCGGTGTCTCCCACACCCGCCCCCCCCCCCCCACTCCATACCCTCAAAGCCTGTGGAGCAGGATGTTCCCGCCTCCTTTGTTTACCTCGGCCACGCCCGCCTCCCTGTGGACCTCACCCCTGGTCATCCTGCTTCCGCACTTGCACGCTCTGGTTTGTTGAGCCATCTCCGTGGACGTGTTGCTGCTTGCCAGCCCGTACCCTCAGCATCTCAATGTGGCACTGGTGACAAGGCCAGCTGCTTCCCCAGGTTGTCCTTGTTTGGGGGCCTGGTTGTGGGTCACATGGCAGGGATGGGTCAGACTGCCTGTAGCTACTCCAGACCCTGTGTCTTCCCGTTTAGATGCTCACACCGAGGGTCTGCCTTGCAGACAGATGCTCAGCTTCCTTCAGAAGAACATCATTATTGCCACCACCGCTGTGGCAGCAGTCCTCCTGGTCACAGTGCTTGTGGTGTTTGTACTGGTCACCTACATAAGGCGGAAACAGCCAAGGTGAGTGGCTCCCGGCATCCATCTCCCTTTTAAGAACTCTGGGAGGGTGGCGGTGGTGGAGAGATGGCTCAGATTCTATGCCCAGCACAGGGTGGCTCGTAGCCATCTGCAGCTCCCGTCCCGAGGGATCCAACCCACACTCTGGCCTCCCAGAGCACTGTATGCGTGTGGTGCCTGCTGGCAAAACACCCATACAGGCAAGGTAAAATGAAATGTGCTTTTTTTTTTAAACAACTCAGGGAGTTTGAAACAGTTGCTTCTTGCAAATCCCAGATGTAGGAGGAAGGCAGGGATGGCTTCCTGTTGTGCCTCCGCATCCCCCAGCATACTCCATTAAGGTTCCCCGGTGATGGCTTTCAGGAACTTTCTGGCAATTCTGAGGCACACTGAGGCTTTGGAGTCCCTGACTTGGGCTATGCTCGCCTCCCAAAGCCATGCAAGTCTGAGAGGAAACTGAGGAGAGATGCAGAGCCTCCGGTTAGAGGAATAGAAGCTAGGGCTCTGTTCCCTGCCCCCTCCGGGCTTCTCTGTGTAGCCCCGGCTGTCCTGGAATAGACCAGGCTGGCCTTGAACTCAGAGACCCACCTGTTTCTGCCTCCTGGGTGCTGGGATTAAAGGCGTGCACCACCATGCCCAGCTGTGGGAACTAAGGTTCTAGGCCCAGAAAAGCCAAAGCATGGCTATAAGGTGTGAAGGGGCGTGGAGAAGAGAGCAAGGCTGAGTTCAGTCTGTTCACACTGGTTCAGCTGTGCAGCTTAGCCCATGCAAGTGTGGTTCTGCTAACCGCTTGATAGCCACTTCCTAGAACCAAGTAAGTGATGGGTTAATGCCTGGCCCGGCAGGAGCCTCAAGGGGCCAGGAGGGAAAGGGTTCAGGCACAGACAGAACCTTGAGCAGGCCCCAGAAGCAAATAACCCGAAAGAGAATGGAGTGCACGGTCACTTTCAGAATCAGGAGCCCCCTCTGCATCCTTGGAGACACACATTCCTGATGGCTGAGGAGACCAGGTCTGGCTCGGGCACTCACCTTGCCCCTTTCCTCGGAGTCTGAGGCTATAGATGTTAAATTTCCCCATGTGAGAGTAGCACTGCCTTCTCTAAACGCCAAGGCTCTGTAGGTGGAAAGCCTAACCAGGCAAGCTGACTTCCACATCACATCCCCGTGTTGACTCTTCCGAGGCAGGCATGGGGCCCCGAGGCAAAACGGCTGCATCCCAAACAGATGAGCTGGGGCTGTGGATGGATGCGTTCCCCAGAGGCACTTTGCTGCCCTGGGTTAGAGGGGATGCCATGCAGGGCAGACCTTCCCCCAAGGAGACAGCATCCGGACCCCCAGAAACTGCAGCCTCCCTCCCCATCCCACCGGCAGACGGGTGGGGCTTCCCGTGTGTTAGGTGAGGTTTCTCTTCTTCGTTTTAGGTATCCGCCGATGAATACGACGTACAATATTTTTATAATGAATGGAAAGGGTTGGTGGCAAAAGTCCGAGGAAAAGCATCTCAGGAAGTTCACAGGGAAGCAGAAACACCTGAAGAGTAATTCCTTCGTGTAAGCAGCGAACCGTCACCAAGCCCCTGTAGGAGGGTTCTTCTTGCACTACCTGGACCGAAATCGAGGGTAGGCAAGAAGCTCTTAAAACGCGGGTCTCTAGGGAGGAGTGGCAGGTGGCGCCCCCTAGCGGCAGTCTCATGCAGGTCCGGGTGTTGGCTCAGGCTGGGGTTTGAGACCCTGGACCCTAAAGGCTTTACAGCATCGCATCTGCTTCCAACATCCCATCCCTTCTGTCTTGCCACTGGGGAACTCTTTAGCCGCTCCCTCGGTTGTTGGTGCTGCCGCCAGGATGACTCGAGGGGTGGGGGACGGTGCACCTGCCTCTGTCCCGGCAGCCTCCGGGAGCCGAGGATGTAGGAGGGTCATTCGGAAACTGGGTGCTGGGAACGGCTGGCATCATTAAGCTCAGACATCCTTTCTCACTAGGTGCAGAATCCTGGCGGGATGGTGGGATTCCTGAGCCGGGAGCCTTGCCCAGTCCAGCAGCAACATGCATGTAGAGCTAGGTGGGCTCAGGCCTGTACCCGCAGCCTGCCGGGGAGTGGGCCTGAGACCTGGGTGGGTGGGCACCCACCTTAGCTGCCGAATGGCAGGCACACCGATAGCAGTGGGTACCAGTCACAAGCCTGGTATTTGAGAGTGGGGGTGGGTCTGGCAGCAGACACTGGCTGGGACTGCTCTGAGGACTCTTTGGATCTGCCTCTTCAACTGTTGGCCGGTAGTTGTGGGTACTTGGAGCTCTGAAGCTGGGCCCCCCATCTTGGAAATGCATACTGCACACTGGGCAGTTTGGAAACCTGCTCGGAGTGAGCAAAGCAGCCCGCTTAAATAACCTAGAAGGGCTGTTAAGACCAATCACAGCTGTTTGTTTGGGCCAATCCCAGTCCCCTAGGCTTGTGTTCTGGGCCAATCACAGGCTTGCCAGAGGCCAGAGTTGTCCGTCCGCAGGGGCAGGGCTCCCTGGTCGCCAAAGTGGGGTTGGCTGTGAGTGCAGAAAGTGTGGCACAAGCCATTTCAGTCTGTCTAGGGCTGGGTCTTCGGCAAGCGGCGGCTCTGCAGAGTCGGCTCCAGGAATGTGCCTGGTATTTAAGATGGCTCATGCTATCGGAGTGAGGTTCAGCTGGCTGTTAAGATCGAGAGTCCTATGCAGGGCTGTGATGGCGCACACCTTTAATCCCAGCACTCGGGAGGCAGAGGTAGGCCGATCTCTGTGAGTTTGAGGCCAGCCTGGTCTACAGAGCGAGTTCCAGGACAGGCTCCAAAGCCACACGAGAAACCCTGTCTTGAAAAACAAAACAACAACAAAAAGATTGACAGCCCTTTTGCTCACAACCGCTGAGACAAGAGAAAATGCCAAAGACGCTAATTAGGGGTCAAACTGACCTCAGTGTCCGCCTGTCTACAGGAAAATGAACCCGGGAAGGCATGCTTAAATAGAAACGCATAGAACTCAGTGCTAACAGTGCCAGTGACTTTAACAGATTTTAACTGTGCTTTCCACCTGCCTGGGCCCAGGGAGGGGTGAACTCCTCTTCTCAGTTACTACTGGGTCCTGGAATTGTCATGCAAGGGAAATCTTGGTCTAGTTACGGAGAGGCCATTGGAGTTAGGGCTATGAGGCATATTCTGCCAAAGCGTTTACTCTCACCTGCCGATCTTGCCTGGACTTCTGGATGCTTGCGGTGATAGAGTATGAAGGACCAGGGCAGCCGACAGTGTCGTTTTAGAAGATGGTGGTGCCTTTAGGAGGTGACGCCTTAGTGGAAGGTGTGGACCATGGGGAGGGGGTGGACAAGCTGAGCGGTTTTACCTATGCGTTTATTTGGGAAGATTTGTGATTCTGTGTGTGTGGAGGGGTATGTGCGTATGAGTTCGGGTGTCCTGTGAGACCAGAGGCTTTGGGTCCTCTGGGTCTGGGTCCCCATCCATAGGACACCCTGCTTACTCTCACCTTTCGGATCTCCCAGGGACTCAGGCATGAGGTGCAGGTCAGAGGTGGGGGACTAGGAGGCGAGCGAGCGATGACGGGGAGGGACGGAAGATAGGAAGCTTAGAGCGTGGCGTGTAGGGAAAGGATCTGATTGGCGAGTGGGTAAAGTTGGAGACGAGGCATCAGCAGCTGGTATATATGGACTGGTCCCCACTCCGCCAAGCATCTGTGTTAGACACAGTGGTCAGTGTCCCTCCCTGTGGTGGTCTCCCCTAATGGCTGACCTGCATGGGGCTGCTTTTGGTTCACTCTGTGAGGTGAACACGATCCTCCCCCATTTCACAGAGAAGCCAGCGGGAGGTGAGGAATGGTCCATGAGGAATGGCCCATGAGAGCCTTTGTCCTATGTCTCTGCTGCCAGGCTGTGCCTGTGAGGTTGGCCATCAAAGTACCGGAGAGAGTAGGTGAACAACTCTAGTGTGCTGGTCTCACAGGGATGGCCTATCTGAGTGTCTCTCAGGCCCCGGGAGCTGGGTCCAGCTGGATTCTGGTACTGGTTCTACCTAGTCCTGTTCCAAGCCTCAGCTTCCTCTTTCTGATAATAAAGGAAATAATTGAGCGCCTGCTGTGCTGGTCTGGGGACACCGCAGAAAGTAGGGACGAGGACCCCTTTGAGCTCGGATGAGATGTACCATGTGCCCCTCACCCTGCTTCACTCCAGCCTTTGGGCTCCCAAGTCTGAGCGGCAGCCACCTCCACCCAGATCTCCTGTGCCTTTTCGAGGTGCTGTCTTCTGTAGCTGAGCACTCCTTGTCCGTGGGCCAATGGAGCCGTGTACTCCATTGTCACCTTTACCAAAGGTGCTTTGTGGGAGTCCACCCCCCTCATCCCCATCAGGGTGCCCCAAAAGATGGCATCCAGCCAGGTGGTGGCTGTGTGCTCCACCATGTCCTAGAAAAGTCTCCAGTCTGTTTACTCGTGGCCTCTTCCTGTCCTCAACACGGGCTAGTCTCCTTTATGGGGCTGTTGGATAACATGAACCCTCAGCTAGGACTTCTCAGTAGAAAAGACGACCTTTTAAAAAAGCTGTTATGATCGTTTTCACAAGATACTGGTTCTCTGCCTTCCCAGAATCCTGTGCATTCCTTCCAACCATTCATGCCTGACCTGGCCACTCCCACATCCACCAGAGACTGGCTGGGGAAATCACTATTCAGATACAGAGATGGGGCCCACTCCATCCATGAGCTGTGTTGGGGGCATTCTCTGGGAATACTGAGAAAGACTCTTGCTCTTTGCACAGGACTTGAAATGACTCCCTATCTCGAAGTCCAGGAAGAAAAATGCAATCGAGAGAGAAGCCAACAGGCAGGAGACAACCCTGTGGCCATCACTGGAGCCTAGGGCAGGTTGTCCCGAAGCCCATCTCTGGAATTTTCAGCTACTTATATAATAATTGTCAAACACATTTTTTGTCTTGCTTGTCTTTTAAGAGTCTCGTGTATTCCAAGCTGACCTCAGACTCTGTGTGTAGTCAAGGGTTATTTGAACATCTAAGATTATTTTCTCCTTAGGTGTATGGCTGTGTGCACTGGAATACAAGTGCCCACAGAGGCCAGGAGAGGGCGCTAGATCCCGCGGAGCTGGAGTGCTAGGAGGTTGTGAGCTGCCTTAAGTGGATGCTGGGAACCGAACACAGATCCTCTGCAAGAGCAGCCTGCATTCTAGACCACCAGGCTGTCTCTACAGCCCACGCTTTGGACTTCCGGTCTGTACCCCTGGGCACTGGGACTGCAGGCATGTACATTGTGTGATGCTGTGACGGAGCCCAGGGCCCTGTGCGCGCTATGCAAACACTCTTCTACCAACTGAAGGACATCCCCCACCCCCGAAACACGCCAGCTCCTAGGGATAGAGGCCCCAGCTCCCAACTCGTCCCTGCTGTCCCCTCTTCCCCACACCGTTTCCATTGTCTCCTCTGTGAGTCCTGCCCCGATCCGTCAGACTGTCACCTCCACAGCGGCCCCCACAGGCCCTTGGTACCTTGGACAGGGACTCAGTGCCTGTAAGTGACTCAGGCACTGACAACCGGCATGGTGGCTTGAAGATGGCAGAAGGAGCCAGCCATCAGAAGCCCTCAAGGGGGGTACAGCAAGTAGCTGTTGTGACCAATCAGCTCTCTTTAGACTTAGTAGCTCGCGTTCACTTGCCGGAGGATGGTGGTCACTTGTAGTTTTTAAAAACCCCTCCCACATGGTGCGCGGCAGCTCTCAGTACCCCAGAGATGCCCCTGGAGCACCCAAGGGAACACAGGCTCCACAGCATAAATTGTGGGAACTGGACAGCGATACTGAGGATGGTAACAGAACTTAAACACTTACACAACAGAACTGTACACATACACATACTTATACACACATATATACTTATGTATACACACACTAACACACTTATATACATATATATACACACACATATACACTTATATATACCATACACACATATACACTTATACAACAGAATTATACACATATACACACTTATACACTTATATATACACACATACCACACACATATATACTTATATATACATGCACACACATATATATACACATATACACTTATACAACAGAATTATACACATGCACACACTTATATACACACATACACACACATATATATACATACACACACATATACACTTATATACACATGCATACATTTATATATACACACACATATACACTTATATATACACACACACACATATATACACATATACACTTATACAACAGAATTATACACATGCACACACTTATATACACACATACACACACATATATATACACACACATATATACTTATATATACACGTAGACAACAGAAACACACACACACACACAGATTTATTGGACTGATTTACATGCTACAATCCAGCTAGTCCAGCAATGGCTAGCTATGGACAAAGTCAAGAATCTAGTAGTTTCTCAGTTCACAGGGCTGGGTGTCTCGGCTGGCCTTCAGTATGTGCTGGAATCCTGAGGAAGTAGCTCCCATGCCAGTCAGGGAAG